TCTCTGTACAAAATCAATAAAATATATTAAAAAAAAAAAAAGAAAATAATATTCAGACTAGGATAACACAAAGTCAGTGTTCACCTAAGTCCAAGGACACATATTGCTTTTTTAATATTATTAGCCCACACTGCTTACTAGTTTTTTCTAATTAAGAAGTATGTGTTAAAGCATATTTCTATGTTCTGCATTGTGTTTTTTATTTATTTAATAATTTTCCTGATATAAGGAGATTTCTTTGGCCCTCATAATTATATTGTAGTTTACTTAGAAGAAAACAATAGTTCACAGACCACCTAGTTCACTGAGAGGGCAATAATTCTTGTAAGGCAGACTTCTAGGTTACCATGCCAATCTGTTTTGATCCCCATCTGAGCTTCACAATGGGGGAGTCATTGTTAAATTACAGCACTCCACCCTCGGAAATGAGGTATCTTGTGGATTTGTTTCTGAACGAGCAGTGAGATTCCAAGCTACTTACTAGGAAGATCAAACTAAGGTGTGCATGGTGTGAAGATATATCCATATGTGGACATATTTATATCTTTATATATATCACTACTGAGATGAAGAACGTATCTGACATGCAGTAGGTAGTCCAAAACATGTTAGTTAAATATTCATTACTCAAACAGCTATGTGGATGTTAAACTGCCTTGAATAAATATTTTAAGGCATAATGTCATTTCAAAGCATTTGAAGAATAAATATTTCACTTTTTTACTAGTATTAGTTTTCTTGTTAGTATTAGTTATTTTGGCCCTTCCATTGATCTTTATGAAACTAGTTTCCTGTTCACTGAGGAATGGTGATGTACTCGGGGTCCAGTTCCTTGGAAATACAGTTTCCTTATACTTCTCCTTTCCTTTGTTTTAATGAACTTCTTTTACCTGGCTTCCTCATTCCAAGTGCAAAGTTAATTGATGTCAGTGGGGATATGTTATATAGCAAAATATTTTTCTTAGCCTTTTCCTTGTACTCTTTCCAATACCTCTTTTTGTCTCAATGTCTTATTTAATCACTCAGCTGTATTGTCTTCTTTTGGTTGGAGGATGGAACGGGAGTGAAGAGAGGAGTGTGCAGGTGGCATATTCTTCATGGGATCTTCTCTCTGCTGGCATTTGGGTGATCCTTTAAGGTCAAAGGTTCTCTCTGATTAGGATCAGGATTGCTGATGATAAAGAAAGATTCATTCGATTTGGGAACCAAAGCTGCAGGCAGTGGGAATGGCCCGTACCTACCATGAAAAGGGAGCATTTTCCCCGTGGCTTCTCCTAGATGAAAAAACTCCTCAGCTCCACACAAGCCACAGAGCTTACCTGCAATCAGTGCCAGAATTTTCCACAGGAAGTGGTGCTGGGTCTTTTCCAGCACATGAACAATTGCTCCACCAAATCCCCAGCATTGTCTGCCCTAAAGAAGGGCAGAAATCATTCTGGCCTAGACATTTCTCACGACAGGTATTAGCAAACACTGGCCGTGGCTTTAGAAATGCCTAGCATGCCCACGCATCACTGATTTTGAGCTAGACATTGCCTCAGGAAACCCATACATGTGAGTGAAGTACAGAAAGCTTTCCTGAGGTGCCTGAATGGATTGACTTGTTCTGTGGGGGTATGTGGTAGACCAATTGTATCCATATAAGTCAGTGATTTTAATTTAACTTACTTAATATTGAACCTTTTTTTTTCTAATAGTAATTTTATGCCATAACCTGTTATATGTAAGAGTTATTTTACAAATATTAATTTATATTATCAGCAACACCAGAAAAGCAGAAAATGTTCCTTTAATATCTTTGCAAATACATGCCCAGCGCACTATTTTCTGACAAGTGGAGGGGGTAGCAGGTCCTATAGCTGCTATGCCAGCCAGCATGGCCACCCCCTCGCTGACACAGCACTGAGTCCACACACAACACCTGTGAGAAAGGGCGCGGTTCCCCAGTCTTACACGGGAGCAACAAATTTAGTAACGACAAAAGCCATATGGTGAGTGAATGGAGAAATTAAACTTCAAATGCAGCCTCTGCAGACCTTTAACTGAATAATCTAGATTTCATTTTTTATTTTTTTAGATATTAGGACCCAAGAGAAACACTAGAGAGCACTGCTAGACTTAAATGTGGAATTTGACATGTAGAGTTCATCTCTCAGACCTGAGATCTAACATTAAAACCTGGAGGATTGTCCAGCTCAATCTTCCACCTTGAGAGCCACTGTATAAATCTATTTTTTAAAGTAAAAAATATTCCCTAAGATTGGCTCTACCTAACTTCCCTCCCTTCCAGAGTATCTTCATTTCCTCCCCAACCCTTATCCTTGCTAATCCGGGGCTTTTACTAGACCTTGCGCTGCCTCAGCTGGAAGAGGAGAAGGAAGGTGAGGAGGAGGAGTGGGGAGCAGAGGAGAAGGAGGTGGGGAGATCTTTTTTTAGAGCAATAAATACCTTTATTATGTGAGCTAAGGTAAGAGGAAGGACAATTTATTTGCCTTTCTGGGCCCAGATTGTCCTCAGATAAAACTCTGGCTCTTTGCTCTCCAGCACATAGCCATCAGTTCAGCCACATTGTCCTGGTCTTGGAGCGATGCATGTGAGAATCTTCCCCCTCTGTAACTGCTCCTCTAGAAGACTGCTGACTGTGGCATTGTTTTCCCTTTCTTCATATTTCTTCTGAACTTTCCTTTTTTTTTTTTTTTAATCCTCACCTGAGTATATATTCATTGATCTGAAAAAAGCAATTAATTTACTGAGCTCCATCTGACTAGTCAATGAGAGCTTAGGAGAGAATCAATCTCCATAGTATAAGTGGCTCAAGTAGCCCTGGAACAGGGGTTGTTGGTAAAGGAGTCAGCCAAGGTTATCCGATCCAGGCTCTCATTTTCCAGATAAGAGAACTGAGTTGTGGGGAGAGGAGTGACTTGTCCAGTCTCACGCAGCCAGTCGATGGGATGGATATTATTATTGTGTGGTGTAGAGATGTAGAGATTATAAGGCATGTTTGCGGTTTACTTTATTGTCTTACAACAGTCCTTATGAGAAGTGCTTGTCAAATGTCACGTAGGAGTGAACAGTTTGTTTTTTCTGTTCAGTGACCGAGAGAATTTAGAGATTATGTATTAAGACAAACCAAATGACATCTAAAACTGATTTTGGTTCTAGAATTAGTTTTCCAAATGAGGAAAATAGTTCAAAAGGAAGATGACTTGCCCAAAATATTATGGCTTAACTAATGGCTAAACTCTGTTTAGAACCTAGGAAAATTTGTATGCTTTGTATTCAGAAAAAAAGAAAGGCCATATATACAGTTGACCCACACAGGTATTAGAACTATATTTTGGATGACATTGACATTTCATCCTGAGAGTTTTTAATTAATTACTACTGTTGACATAAGAAATATCCCAACCTATAAAGAATTTTTATAAGTTTATTTGAGCAAAATTGACAACTGCCAGGAAGCAAAATCTCAACCGATTAAAAAATGCTCCAGAGAATGGAAGTTTTGTAGCTTATTTTATATATTACCATCAAAAGAGGAGACATAAGGAGGCTACATGAAATCCACTAGTGGTAGATTAAGGGGTGGGAGAAAGCAAAGCAGGGAAATCTCTGGGGCTGGATAAAAAGCCAAATGGAGATAGATACATACTCCTGTTACATTGATGTGTACAGTATACTTTTAACATTAACTGGGCTTAGAGATGATATTTGGGGAACAAGATAACAGTGAGGGGTTCTGTGGTCTCCTGCTCTGGTGCCAGTGATTGTGCCCTGGAGGGTCTGGAAAAGGAGGCTATTCTGATGTTTCAAAGGTTCACTTAAGGTTAAGATTAACCTTTGTCAAGGAAACTACAGACCTAGGACTTGACCCACCATGACCACTTTTAGTTAGGAACTTTGATGTGCAGACCATCCTCTGTGATTACTTTAGGTTTCTAAGTATGTAAGGCTGCCATGCAGGCCTCCTCAGGTGTAGTATGTGGCCCCCTTTTTGTTCACACTTTTGTGGTTTTAATGTAATTGCATTTTGAACCATGCATAAATCTATTAATGTTCTAAATTAATGGGCTTTTGGATATTATTTAAATCATCCTATCTAATAAAATAGTAATATGCAATTTGACTGTCACTCCAACACAAGATGGCCACCCCCATGTGGTCAAAGATGGCTGCCCCATGTGGACACAAGATGGCCGGCAGTGGAGGGCAGTTGGGGAGGACCAGGCCTGCAGGGGAGGGCATTTAGGGGTGACTGGGCTGACAGAGGAGGGCAGTTGTAGGGAACCAGGTCTACAGGGAAGGGCAGTGGGTTGTGTGGGGAGGGGACCCAGGCCTGCAGAGGAGAGCAGTTGGGGGAAACCAGGCCTGTAGGGAGGGCAAGTGGGGGGGGGGGGAGGTGGAGACCAGGCTGGCAGGGGAGGGCAGTTAAGGGTGACCAGGCTAACAGGGGAGGGCAGTTAGGAGTGATCAGGCCAGAAGGGGAGGGCAGTTGGGGAGATCAGGCCTGCAGAGGAGGGCAGTTAGGGTCAACAAGGCTAGCAGGAGAGGGCAGTTAAGGTGACCAGGCTGGCAGGGGAGTGGTTAAAGGGCAACCAGGCAGGCAGGTGAGCGATTGGGAGCCAACAGTCCTAGATTATGAGAGGGATGTCCGACTTCCCATTTAGGATTGGGCTTAAATGGGCAGTCGTACATTCCTTGAAATGTCCCAGATTGGAGAGGGTGCAAGCTGGGCTGGGGGGCACAGCCCCCTCTTCCCTTCCCCAACCCCCGTATGAATTTCATGCACTGGGCCTCTGGTTTTGTATAAAAGGATATATAATATTCACAAGTCTGACTTGGACTAGAAAAAAGTAGTGAATTAAGAGTGTATTACATGTTCCTTCCTGCATATGAAAGTTAAGTTAGAGATGAATAGTCACTTTTTTTTAAAGATATGACTTTAAAAAAAAATGAGAGGGCAATTTACAAATAATACATTTCAAAATTTTATTTTCCAGGATCTACTTCAGGTTCAAATTTAAAAAGTCCTGAACTGAGTTTAAATGGCACCCAGTACATCATACAAGTAGGCAAGAAGCTATCTATCAAATGCAGGTAAGTGACTATCCTGGGGGATAATCTGGCTGCCCTTCCTAATGCAAAGTAGAAATGCCACCTCTCACAGCAGAAAAGCAGAGACTTCAGTGGTCTCTTGTGATTTGCAAAGTGCAAACCACTTGTGTACTGCTTCACATGGAGGTAATTTACCTCCCGAAGAGACTCACTCATTCACAGGCAAACAGGGGAAGTGATGCCCTAAACATTTTTGCATTATAATCTGAGTTGTTGAAAAGGTTTTCCAAATGCCTTGCTTTTCTATAAAGAGAGAGATGACTACCCTTAAGAAAGGACCTCAGAATAGTGCTGCCTAACGAGATGGATGCCACGGAGCTGGCCACAGCCCTAATTGTATTTCATTTTCTTATCTGTGATTGCAGGGGGAAAGCAGACCACTCATGGTCTTTGCCTGAAACAGTGAGTAAGGAAAGCAAAAGGCTTAACATTACTAAATATGCCTGTGGAAAGGGTGGCAAGCAGTTCTGCAGCACTTTGACCTTGACCACAGCCGAGGCAAACGACACTGGCTTCTACAGCTGCAAGTATCTATCTCCTCCTTCAAAGAACAAGCTAACAGAATCTACAATCTATATATTTATTAATGGTAAGCCTTCCATTTTCTACATTTTGTTTTTTGTAGCTTCTCAGAAGTCATAAACCTACCCTGACCCATTGGAAAGGGAGCTTTTCTAGGGAGTGGGAAAGAAAAGCCCTGGGAAAAAGGTAGAACTTTTTAGAATGCATTTAAAAAATATATTTTTAGTTGATTTCAGAGGGAAAGGGAGAGGGAGAGAAAATAATATCAGGGATGAAAGAGAATCATTGATTGCTGCCTCCTGCACGCTCCATATTGGGGATTGAGGCTGCAACCCAGGCATGTGCCCTGACCAGGAATCGAACCAGTGACCTCTTGTTTCATGGGTTAATGCTCAACCACTGAGGTACACCAGCTGGGCTAGAATGCATTTTTAATGCATTTTTTGACTGTTCATTTCAATTAGAATTTTCATGGATTGATCAGTCAATTGTATGCTCCCTGAAGAGAGAGATTCCTGTTTTGTTCACAAAATAGTATCCCGACTGGCGCATAGTTGGATGAATAAATGAATGACAAAATTTTAGTTCTATCTATTAATTACTGAGAAGTCCAAACTATAATACAAAAGCTTTTTGTCCTTTAACACAACTACACACTCTTACATGTTAAAATTGTAAAATGTTCTTTCTATTAAATTTATAAATATAATGTTCTTAATTGTTTCTTGAATGCTACAAAATTGGTTCCAGTTGGTGAAGTTGTATGAGTTCATGTTCCTTAAATAAGTATCTACACTAATAAAAGAGAAAGATGCAAATCGACCATACCTTTGTGACACCCACCAGCCAATCAGGAATTAGTATGCAAATTAACCCACCTTGTTGGGTTAATTTGCATACAAAGGCACTGAGCGGCCCCGGGGCAGAATGCTTACATCATCACCTTGGTGAAAACGCAGGTGTTCCATCCCAGCGGCTCCCGGCCCCTGGTCAGCATGGGAAGGCAGAAAGGCAGCTCTGGGCCAGAGTGAAGGAAGTGCTGGCAGCAGGGGTAGGAAGGCCCACCCTCGCATGAATCTTCATGCTTCGGGCCTTTAGTAATGATATAAGAGTTGGCATGTGCCATTATATAGGGCAAATAAGGGCAAAAGGTAAAAATTAGTCATTTTTCAGTTATAATCTTTATGGAACTATTTTTCCTTAGAGAATTAAAAAAAAGTAATATTCAGAGGGAAGAAATGCAAAATTCTTAAAGAAACAAAATTAATGGTAGAAATGGATCTCTGAAGAAGTATAAGGAAGAGGGCCTGTTAAATTATTCTTTCTTGGCAGGGAATTTTTTTTTTTTTTTTTTTTTTTTTTTTTTTTTTTTTTTTTAATGAGGCTCTAGAGAACATACAGCAAAATTAGTAGGCACCTTAGGCACAAAAGCAAAATAAAAAGCATAGAAAAACAACCAACCAATACATTTCAGTAGCCTACATACACATCATGTTTTATGAGTGAAAGAACTGGATCCTTGCATTGGCAGCAGTACATAGAATTACATTTTGGTGGAAATGTTTTTGAATTTTTGAAATAAGACAATTAGACAATACTTTACCAGAGCATGGTATGTAATTAGCAGATTCAGGATTAGTCTTGGGAGATAGTAGAACAATTGTATGATATTGGCAGTAATATCTTTTTGTTTTAAATCCTCACCCAAGGTTATTTTTTCTATTGATCTTTAGAGTCAGAGTAGAAGGGAGGGCGGAGGAGAGAGAAAGATTTAAAAAGAGAGAAACATCTGTGATGTGAGAGAGACACAACAACTGGTTGCCTCCTGCATGTGCCCTGATTGTGATGAAATGTAAACTGAGTTATGTGTCCTTGGCCAGGAAACCAAACCTGGGACCTAGGAATGCAATTACCCCACTTAAAAATATGAGGAAGTAAACAGGGATCTTTGCCAAGGGAATGAGCCTCTGCCTCAGGTGGGAAGGGCGGGGACAGAAAGGAAGCCAGGTAGGGCGGAGAAGGTGCAGAATTAAGGAGAGACTTTCAGAGATGCAGCTCGGAGAAAGCAGACACAAAGTTTGATAGCGGTGGAAAAGGATATATATGCAGACATCTGTCTCTTTCTCTAGTTCCACACAGTAGGTTATGCATTTTCTAATACTTGTAAAGGAAAAAAACACACAACACTTTATCTCTGTCCTTCTAGGGGAATGGGGTAAAATTCATTAATAATAAAATTCTCATAAATGACCTCCTACAGGTTTATCATATTATGACTTGCAAATAAAATACTTAAATAAGTAAAAGACCACTCTCACTCTCTCACTCTTTCCTTCCCTCTCTACCTCTCTCTCCCTCTCTCTCTCTCTCTCTCTCTCTCTCTCTCTCTCTCTCTCTCTCTTTCTCTCTCTCTCTTTCTTTCTCTCTCTCTCTATCTATCTCTTTCTCTTCCTCTTCCTCTCTCTCTCTACAAATAATATTCAACTCTTTTCATCTTTAATTTCTATACTGTTCAGCAGACCTCATGGGTTTATGGAGCCAGTAGGTAAGGGCATACAGAACCCACCTTCTTCAGTCCTTTTGGTAACAGGGGAGAAACAGCTATTTAGAATTATTTCCATTTAAACTGTACAACAAAGCAGATCTGCCCAGCAACATTACTGTGGATGTCAAATCAATTGGTAACCTCAGCCCCAAGAGGGCAAGGTCCATACCTCTTTAAATGCCTTTAATCTGCAATGTGCCTCCCTGGGAGAGTGCCTCATACAGTAAGAATTCAGTAATATTTGCTCAATGGGTATAGGAAGGGATTAACACACTGTGTAGAATAAATTCTATGTTGAAATTGGCATTAAGGTTAAATTCCAGCTAAGTACAAAGAGTGCCATGACTAACGATTGACGTCTGTTATTAGATTGGGAAGAAGAGTAATAGCCATTGTGTCTCATATTTATCATCCCTGCTGTCCTGCGTAGTCCAAAAATATTAGCATAAAGTTACAAGTACCAGTATCTCAAAAGTCCTGCACAATCTGGTTAGACAAAGGCTAAATACAAATGCACTAATTGTATTCCATAGGACTTTAGTATAGGACATATAAAGTGCTCCATTTTGTAAGTTCATTGAAAAAATTATAAGACTAATTTAATCAATAGCACTAATACTAAAAGATATTAAATTAATAATAGTAGCCATAGAGGAGTACCATAGACACACCTTTTGAAAAGGTAAAGATTTGTAGTCTGGCAAGGTTCTAAGAAAAAGAAAAAGAATCAGGGCTGCATCGCTTTATCTACAGTGTAGGGATGATGAATACACTATTAGACGCTAGTGGTTGCTGGCTGTGTAACGGGCACAGCTCTCATGTGAGCACTATGTGGACGTCCTTCTAACACGGAGTACACCGGAAAATCAGTATCGCCCGCAAAACCGCTGACAATCCATTTAGCTATTTCACTTCATTACTAAATGTCTGATGAATTAAAATTTCCTTTAATAACTTCTTACTTTTATAGTTTCTTTTAACCTAAACAAATGGTTTTATTTACATCATGCTAGTTAAATCTGACAGTAATCCATGAAATCTTCTCTTCATCTTAGTGTGAATGACCTAAGACCCCTTCGCCGGGCTATGTGGGCAGTGAGGGGAAGTGTCAGCAGCAGAGAGAGGCGGCTGGTTTTCTTCCTCAGTCTCAGCAGCGGGAGGAGAAATTGGCCCAGCCCAAACTTTTCTAAAAGTTAGATTTCATTGAAATTATGATTGTACCATATGAGTTGTGACTAAAAGTAAGAAAACTGACCAAAAGAGTTTTTAATGGCATCTCCAAAGTTTTTAATACTTCGTCAGTGTCTCCAGTTTAGTTAGGAAGACCTTGAACTTGACTTGTTGAGTTCCCCACACGTGAAGTCAGCCTGTACCTCTCCAAGCCCAAGACTTTCAGGGCTATATAAATGTAATGTCTTCTCTGGAAAATTATAATTGAAAGGAGGAATATTTGGGGGAAGAGGGTGCTGTAGTTGAGTGGTTGGATTCTAGCTCTTCCCTGTTAATGAAACGCATCTCTTTCCTTTTGCTTCTCTTCATTTGGTTGCTTTTCTCTCTGCATCTATTTAAGCAAATGCAAATGGGTTGGGGCATTATCATAACAGATTTTCCTCCACTAGTTCTCTCACTTATATAAATCTGATGAGATATGAGTAGCAGCTTAATTTCAGTTTGAAAACGATCAGACACACTGTGTATGTGATTGAAAAGTAGTAGAAGTTCTAACCACCCAGATATTCTGGGAGAAAATAATCATTATGCTTTCACATAATTTTACTTTAAAAATGTCCTGCTTGGCCATGGGACCTCAAGTAAATGAAAATACTAACAGCACAGACATTCTGAGAAGAATTCATTGTACTCACTTGTACAGCACTTCAGATTTTCCTGAAGAACTTTTCCATAATTAGCTCTGAGAAATTTAAGTTGGTGTTATTTCTTCCATTTTATATATGAGAAAACAGCCACAGTGACCTGCACACAATGGACAGAGCTAATAAAATGACAAGCTGGGAGGGGACCCAGGTCAGTCCCTGGGTTAGGGCTATTCCCACCACACTGGAGTTTCAGTCATTGACTTCAAACAATGAATTAGTGTGTGTTTTTTTTAATCTTTGAGAATATACATTATATAGTTGTTATGTGTTGTTTTTTTTAAGTTTCAAATTCAATTTTTTAATTTTTTTTTGAGGAAAAGTAAAGTGGGTTTTAGAGTGTTTTTCTGAAGCAATCCCTGGTCAGGGCACATACCCAGGTTGCTTGATGGATCCCCAGTGGGAGGTGTGCAGGAGGCAGCCACAGCCAATCAATGTTTCATTCTCACATCAATGTTTTTCTCTCTCTCCTTTAAAAAAAATTTTTTTTAAAGATTTTTTTTTTTATTTTAAGAAAAGTGTTTTTAATACCTCCTGCCCATGGGGCCCTTTCCAGTCTGCCTCAGAACTGTCCTCCTCATAGCCTGTCTGAGTGCCTAGGGCCAGAGTCTGAGCCTTACCTACCTTGACTCCTTCGCCAAGGGCTGT